GAGGCACGTTTTGGTAGGCCAATCGTCGAAAATGTCGATAAAATCATGGAAATCGTCGAGTCGGACCGGCATGTGAGCACTTATTCCATTGCCCAGGAACTGAAGGTTAGCCAGAAAACCGTTTGGAACCATTTGCATAACAATATATAACTTGCATATTTTTCGGACTCCCCTGATTGATTATCAATGTTGGAGTCAAAATAAATATTTTTACTAAAAGAGCTGCAAAAAAATATAATAAATAAAATTCTAAAAAGGTCTTATTATACTCACAGGGCTATGTTCAGAAATCCAACTCGATGGATAGAGTTATTTTAATAAACCAATCATGATAAATAAATCTTAGTTCTTTTTACCCTGATTGGCTAATTAAATGTTACTCTACTCACCGAGTAAGGTTTCTGAACGCAGCCCAGCATGTTCGGCTCTGGGTTAACCCACTAGGTTATTCAGTCTACGTTTATTGGTCGAACAAGTATTTATAAGTTTTATGATTGACTAGTAGAGACGTCATTAATCGCTCTCGGAGCGATTAACCCAGGGCCAGTCGAACACGCTAATAATTACCCGAAAAAGAACCAGGAGTATTGAAATACTAGATAGTACACCGATCATGCCTGACGGTACTTTCACAGCAGTGCTTGAGATCGATATTTCGGCCAAATACATGATTTTTTAATATTTAACTAAAATTATCTGGATGACTCACAAACCTTTTTAATAATACTTTGTAACTCTTCATATGAAATACAAACGATACTATACCGAATCTTTATTTAATTTACCTCCGGTCATTATTTCCGGCTCAATACATGGTTCAAAAAAGAACAATTAATTACAAGTAGAATGACTCACAAATCTTTTCATTTGCACTTCAAAACTCTTCATACGAACGATTTAAAAGAATAGTTTTCCAACCGGAGTTTTTTTCCGGTCAAGTACATATGAATGTCCGATCTTATATTTAAGATCATCTTAAGTACTGTCTTAAGATGTCATAAACCAATCACAGAGCCGTATTCGCATCTTAAGATATTGGCTGCGTTCAGCAGAGAAAACTGCTTTGCAACTGTGTAAAATTCGTGAATCTGGGGGTCGATTGTGTATCTCGAAACGAAGTGAAAATTACAAAAGTGAACAAATTCACTAGGCATTGACCAATGAAGTTACAAATATTCTAGTAAATTTGCTCACTTTTGTCATTTTCACTCTGTTTTGAGATACACAATCGACTCCCTGATTGGTACATACTCTTGAATTCAACCAAAATTAAGAGCATACTCCAATCAGATTCACGAATTTTACAACAGTTGCAAAGTAGCTTTCTCTGCTGAACGCAGCCATTGCTTAATGGCTCCTGCACATAGGACGCGGTAATACTTGTCGCGCGGCAGAAGTTCGCGCGACAGCCAATCAATATGCTGCTTTCCGTAATAACCTTCTAGCTCTTACGGAAAAACAACATATTGACTGGCTGTCGCGTGGCAAGCATTACCGCGTCCTGTGTGCAGAAGCCATAAGACGGTCTTGAAATAAGATTCGACTATGAATACCGGCTTTAATCCGAATGTACGGGGTGCTTAAAACGTTTATGGCCGGTCCTGCGAGGAATAGCTTGCGTTGTAATCGGCGATCAGATAGATTATTGTTTGTGTTCGCAAAGTGCGGTACTATGACGTGCCTGATGACTTGCATTGGGACACATGCGGACGGTGATAGCTCGCGATGAACGTGGCGATAATCTCGCTAGCATGAACGAATGACGCATAGCGTGCAACATCACGAAACTATCGTCGTGACAATGTGTATGTTATGTTTTCGTTACTTATCTCTTTTTCTTCTTGCTCCTTTTGTCTCGCAAGTTTGTGAAGAAAAGATGCTGTGGTAATGATGGCATTATGGACGAACATTGCTGTAGAAAACCATACTGAGTGTTTCTTACCGGCAGCCCGATTAATAGAAATAGAATACAACGCGACTTGCTTCCAGTTCGCTGACCACACGGTGACAGCGGCGGGACTTTGATGGACTAAAAGACGATCAACAAATTTTCGGTTAGTCACTATTGGTTACTGCTTGCTTGTTTCCTAGAGATTGATGTTTGAGATTGGGAAGCGTTATAGAAATTATTACATTCGCAATTTAAGGCGTTTTTTGGCGATCGTTTGATAAATATAGCAATTTATCATGGAACAAATTTACATTTGATATATATATATATATATATATATATATATATATAT